CAGCAAATATTTTAAAAACATAAAAGAATTTAAAAATTTGTATTAATATAGTAAATTTATATTAGTGAAATAAAATATAATAAAATATTAAATAATACATTCTTGGTGATCCATTAACATCAAATACTCGAATTCAAATCATTTTAGTGTTGAAAATGTACAGATATCCTCTCAGTAGACTGTAATAAATGATTTTCGAAATGTATAACAGATGGCACTGTGATGTTATTTGATATATGGATAATGAAACAAACAACAATGATCAACAGTGCCATCATGTGGCATAAAAAACACATATGGATAACATTCCTCTCTTATAATTTATTGAAAATGATTTGAAATGATTAGATTATTCAAATATTAAATGCATTATTATTAGCAATATTCTATAAACTTATGCAATTGTAAATGAATAATATTTTATGTTTGATTTAATAATATGTATTTATAAACGATAAATCTTGCATCATAATCACAATGTGTTTTTTAAATGCGCAGAAATATTTGAAATACATACATATGTAATACATGTAAATATAGAATGTTTAATTAATTAAAATTGTGATGTGATCTTATTATTGTTTTTTAATGAACGTATATATTATGTATTTATATGTTATATAATCTTCAAATAAGATTGAAATGATTTTTCAAAAAAGTATATTTATTTAAAAAAAGACTTAAATAATTACTTTAAATACTTTTGAAATCTTTAAAATCAAGAAATTGTAAAAAAATATTCATAAATTATAAAATAAAAATGTAAATAGAAGAAATAGTAAAGATACTTATAAAATTAATAAAAATAATATAAAAATGTACAATTGCGAAAAATGAAGATATAATAATAGAAAGATAAGTACAAAAACTATAAGTATTTCATAACTAAATATATAAAATTAAATTAAAAAGATATGTTTTTGTGGATATCAAAAATTTTTCTTATATTATATTCTAATACAAATTCGAAATTTTTGATAAAAAATTAGTTTAAAATTTTCTTTTGTCGAATTATATTTTTTATAAATTTATGTATAAATATTTTCTATGACATGCAAAAATGTATATAAAATATATATAAAAATATACATAAAAATGCAAAATTTTTGGAAATATTATTATATAAAGATAAATGTATTAGAAAAAAAATCTTCATAACAAAAATATTTCTATAATTTAAAGTAATTATCTGTCTGATGTTTCTTACTTACATTATAATGTCATATTCAAATCAGATTTCACTTTTTTAATCTTCCTTCAAGACAAAAACCAAATATATATACAATATATTACTTTACGCCTACACTGGTAACCGCATAAAGCATCTTCTCGGAGAACATATGGAGTAATATATTGAGGTAATTTGTCCTCGAAATTCAATTTACTATGACAGCTAGGAAACTTGTTATTATAAATATATTCATCTTCAAAAATATTAAAAAGTTTCTTTCTGTCTATTAAAAATAATGACGGATATATGAAAATTATTTGATTATAAATGTTATATATTCATTTTACAATTTCGATCTCTTTATCTATTCCATGAGGAAAAAATAAGAGATATTTTCAAATTTTTGGGTAATGTTAATGCATGGAACATATTATAATCTATTAAATATATCGCAAGCATAATATATCACAAGAATATGTGTTCATAAAAAGATATTTCGAATAATACAATTTTTAAGAATTCTGTTTGCATTCTTTGCTCGTGTTAAAAGTAATTGCAATTTAATTAACATTAAACATTTTCGTTGTTTTCTATTTTTTCTTCTAAAAAATAGAATCTTTTAGTTATGCGAGAACAGTTCTTTACTTCTTCACATTCCTAACTTGTAAAAAATGTTTCTTTCGAATGAACTCACTTTAGAAACTCAGATTAATTTTAGAAATAAGAAATAAGGAATAAGTAAATGCTCACTGACATGAGATTCTATTATTCATACTGAAATATAAGGAACAAAGTATCTACAACGTAATAACTTCCATCGGAATTTTCTTACGCGCAGTTGATAAAAATGGTAACATCTTGAACGATGGATAGTTAAGTGATTATAGTTGAATAAAAGATGATTCGAAAAATACAACGCGTCAGTCACTATGTAGAAAAAGAAAAGGAAGGAAAAGTTACATTGTATTCAAGTATTACTGATCGATCGACGATTTCCTACATCGTCCTAAGAAAATGAAGACAACATTGAACAAAGAATTTGCTTACGCTATGACTCCGTTGAAATTTCTGTCATGGCCCGTAGGAACTTGGCCTTTTCAAGTGTACGATATATTTTCACTCACACGTACCATATTTTCAATATCACTTGTGGTACGAAGTTTTAATATTATTGTATCTCTCAACTTATGATTAATATTGTTTAAGAATCGTTTTATTACAGTTGCTCATGATAATAATCGTGCAAGTGGAATTATATTTGGACAGAAGCAACGCGGAAAACAATCTAGATGCTCTTCTATTAATTAATTGCGGCATTTTAGCAGTGGCAAAGGTGATGTGTTTTCGTATACATTCTATAGGACTTGTTTCCAATTTTTCTTCAGCGATTAAGGATTACAACGAATTAAACAGTGAAGAGAATCGAGTGATTGTGCGCCGACACGCTTACATGGGTAGAGTAGCGTGCGCCAGTTTAATATTTTGCTCGTATGTCGGCTCCACGCTTTTCATAACTGTGCCTATGCTTGCTGGGGATGAAGAAGAAGTGATTAATGTAACGGAAGAAAGTGCAATAAAATATCCCATTCCATCTAAAAATATATTGGCAATTATAAATATACCGGATAATATGTATTCCGTGATTTTCATCATAGAGTACATAATGCTGCTACTTACGAGTACAGGAAATCTAGGTAATGATCTATCATGTACATAAATATCAGTACTTGTTCAGGATATGATTTCGATATCAAAATATTTTGTTTCATTTTAAATATTCATTTTAAATATTTATTAGGTAGTGATTCGTTGTTCTTTGGTATTGCTTTTCATTTGTGCGGTCAAGTGGAAATTTTGAGATTAAAATATAATAAATTATCCAACGAGAACGAAAGAACAATGAAACATATTAGTTTATTAACCAGGAGGCACATTTACTTGTTGAAACTAAGCGACATGTTAAATGAAACAATTAGCTCTATTTTGGTCATACAATTATTTTCAAGTTGTGTGCTTATATGTACAACCGGTGAATATTTGCAAGTTTTATTTTATTTAATAAAATAATATTTAATTAAACATAATAGCATAATTTTATTTAAGTGCATTCTATTTATAGAAATTTATATCTGTTTCTAGGATTTGAATTTATTCTCGCTTTAAGCATTGGAAATGTTGTCATGACAATAAGAATATGTATCGCAATGTGCGTGCTCTTAATACAATTATTCGCATATAGTTACGTGGGTGAATATTTAAAAACTCAAACTGAAGATCTTGGCAATTCGGTGTACTTCTGTACTTGGTACGATATGCCAAAAAATGTGTCACAAAACATTATTTTTATCATT